CTCTTTTTTGACAAGGATTTTAAAAAGTTGTTTACCACAGCTTTTTTTGACACTAGAAAAGTTATTTGTGGGGTGGTCACAAAATTCCTTTAACATTTGTCAAATCAACCTTTTTGTTTTTTTTAGTTGTGTTTTTTGTTTTTTGTTTTTTGTTTTTTGTTTTTTGTTTTTTGTTTTTTGTTTTTTCAATTAAAAGAGAAATAAATACAAATTGAACGTACCGAAGAGGAGACACCTTTCTGGAAAAGATATGAGGAATAAAATTAATAAATGGTTTTTTTTTGATTCGTTTTTCATATCCATGAATATCGAAGCCTGGTAAAAATATTCCACTTGGAGGTTCCATAATTTGTTGCATAAATTTTGGTATTTCAGGAACACAAGTTGGAAATTTTAGCTCTATTTTTTTTTGCAATTTTGTTTTCGTTTTGTGTAAAATTAAAAGCGAATTTTCATTTTTTGTTTTGTTGTTTTGATGTTTTGATTGGAAAAAAAAAATTTAAGGAAAACCAAAAAGAAAAAACATTCGTCTAATTGTATTTGAGACATACCTTGGTCAATATTGCACTCACCATAAGTAAAGGGCACTGTAGAGCTGTATTTTTTTTTTAATACAGAATCAAGGTGGTATTTGTCATCAGACTGGAACTTAATTTCAACCGTATTTGACTTCTTTTTATTTTTTAGTGAAGACAAACGCGGTAAAATAAGATCACCTAAAAGTGAGATACCATCGATAATTCCAGTCATTTGGAATTGGAAAAGTTTGTGTGTTCTTTAGTTTTGATAAGATCTGTGATTTGGCACAAAAAGAAAACAAAAAATGATCATCAAATTGTTCAAAACAGAACTTGGGTTTTTGAAAACTTGTTTTTTGGTTTGGGTTTGATTGTTTTTGTTCTAAAAAAGAAACTATTCTGAAAAAGGATGGTTAAAAATAAAATTTGTCTATGTGTATGAAAAAAAGAATTTTCAATATTCGATCAGAGTTGTTTTTGTTCACATTTTCTTAAAAAAATGAGACAGTTGCCAGAAGTTTGTGTCAGAGTCAATTTTAAACAGCAATAAATTCAAAAATTTAGTAAAACTTTTTGGAGTATTTTCCAGTTTTGTAAATCTATTAACTTTACTTTTAAAACATATCTGAAGAAAGGGTAGAAGGAAAGTCAACTATACACATGTGTTTTTTGGATTTAGAATGTTAAAATTTCTTCAAAGTTAAGTTAAAAAAAAATATTCACAAAATAGTAAAATAAACCAAAAAAGTTTGAACATTTTGAGAAATTAAATACTATTTTTTGCAATTTATTTTTGTTCGAGGAGGAATTTCTTGTTTTAGCTCTTATTAGGTAAGGTAACAGATCTTATTTTTTCCCAATGTGTTATTGAATTATGTTTTGTTATTAGTTGTTCCAAAAAAAACTAGAAAAACACAAAAGTATGATTTTTCAAAAAGATATTTTTCAAAATAAAAAAGGATCAGTTACCTACCCTTTTTGATGTAAAAAAGAATTTGAAGAAAAATCCAAATTACATAAATCAACTTGCCAATTTGGGTTTTCCGATTTTTGTTGGTATTAGAAATAGAAATTGGAAAAAATTTTATATTTAACATCCCTTTTCACACACAAATAGAGAAACTGCAGTTTATTTCTTTGAAAATTCCAATTCTAAAAGAAAAATCTGGAAAATGAAGTGAAATTTTTTTCCAATTGTTAATTCTAATACAAATATTGTACTATATTTTTTAGTTTGATGTATTATCATTGTGAATACTGTTTTTGTTCCCGTAAATATATAACATATGCAGAAAAGCTTTTAGAAATGTTCAGTCTGAGTTTAAGTATCGTCAATATTTTCAATTTGTTATGAGGTTGTAAAATACCAAAATATTTGATATTTTTTTCTTCAGAAAAGTTTTTGTCTAGGATATTATCAAGGGTTTTGTTTATTTTATTGAGTTGCATAGGATGTTTTATTGTATTGTAATGTTTTTTGAGCTTTTAGTGTGACGTGTATATATTGATATGGTTATTTGACGATTGTAAAAGTAAATATATGTTTCATATTAGGTACAAAATTATAAGAAAGAAATTTTTGATTTTTTTCACAAGTTTGAAGAAATGACAATTTAATAACTTTTAAATAACGTCAAAAATGTACTTAGCCTTGCTAGCTCAATCGGTACACTGCTAGGAAAAATTTTAATTTTTTGAATTTGATCCATTGGAAACAAAAAATGTTTCCACTAATTAATTTAAGAACATTAACAAGATTATTGTTCATGTTGGATCAGTATAGTGGAAAATGTTACGAGTCAAAAAATAAATTTAAAAAAAAAAAAGAAAAAAAAAGAAAAAGACTTTTCATTTTTTCCAATTTTCTATTCACTTTTTCAATAGCTATAATTTTACAATCCTCACCTAAAAGTAAAAACAAGACTCAATAGAACCCAGTGAACAAAATATATTCACTGAAAGAAGGATAGGATGTAAAAATAAAAATCTAAATTTCAAATGTTCCAAATTATCTTTATTTTGGGAGGGATAAAATGGGATCTTTTGGCAAAAAAAGGGAAAAATTGTCAAAGATCCTGCTAAAAAATGTTTTTTTTTGGCAAAATATTAGGTACCGAGTACGATTGAAATTGAAGGGTAAATTGGAACTGTTATGCCCTATCTTAATACTAAGCCTCTTTTATTAACCTACCCATTGGCGAAAGTTCTCTATCTGGTACAAAAAATAAATTTAATTTTCTAAAAAAAAAAAAAAAAAATTAAATTAAATTTATTTATTTCCCCAAACTGGGAAAAAAGTGGGAAACATAAAAAACTCAAATTACCCCCTCAAAGGAAAAATTAATTTTGATCTGGAGAAGTGAAATTTCTTGACAAACATAAACAAAATTACTCAATCAATAACACTAATCTTATTATTAAAACTAACAAAAAAATCAAAACTTTTACAACAATAATTCAAAAAAAAATAACACTTAAGAACTCTCAAATCACAAATAAAATCACAGATCAAAATGAAAATTTAAACAAAAAACAATTTTAATTTATTTTTAAGAAATTGAAAAGTTAAGACAAAAAAAAATAAAGTAAAAGAAGAAGAGAAAAAATTAGCAATAAAAACATGGTATTATTACTACCAGCTTTTATCACCTAGTAACAATTTCACCATATTTAACTTGAGTCCATTCCCAACTTGTAATTTTTAAATTAATCTATTTCACCCACTTCGTCTTCACATTGAATATTTGTAAACTTTTTCGCCGGATCAAAAAGCTGCATTTAAAAAATATTTTTGCTTCATTGAACAGTTGAATTCTATTGATAATTTTAAGCGAAGTTTAAATTATAATGTGGCCAATAAAATAATTCAACCTTCTCTCAAAATTTTCAAAAAAGAAATTTTTTAAAAGTAAAAATAATAAAAAATCATTTTTACTGATCACAAATTTTGGATTTCATTAATAATTTGATCCCAGCATTCAAATAAATACGAAGTTTGGGTGACTTTAGTCTTACTTTTTTTATTTGAAAAACATTTTTTTGTCAAATAAAAAAACTCGAACAAAAATAATTTTTAACGATTGTGAAAAAAATTTGGGTCACTAAAAAAAATTGGGTAAGTCAAAAATTTGTTTTCGTTTTTTAAATAGTAAATATTAGCAAAATGATTTTTGATCAAAGTAAAATTTTATGAACAAATCTTACATTTAAGAAAAACCAAAGTCACTATCAATAATAATTTTCAAAGGCAAAATTATCTTGCTGCATTTTAACCTTTTAAAATTACTGTGGAACTCTAAAAAAAAAAAAAATGATTTTTAATTGTCAACTTTACTAAAAATAAGAGAAATATTTAATAGGAAATATTAAAATCTATTAATTCAATAAGATATTTATCATTGTTAATGAACGCAAATTTATCACGGTTAATCTTAAATAACCTTTTAAATCAAATTGAATTATAAAATCTTCCAAAAAAGATGTTTTTTCGAAAGAGATTGTTATCCACTAATGTTTACAATCAAAACTTCAAAATACCGAAATATCAAGATTTCAGAAACCATTTAAATTCTTAAAATCCCCTTAGACAAACCTTAATTTAAAACGGTTATTAATTTTTGGTCTTCCCAAACAATGATTAACTAGATCTTGGAATGTAATCTAATAAAAAAAATCAACATTTTTAGTAAAATTTACCATTAAAGATAAATTTTTGTTTTTTAGAGTTCCACAGTAATTCTATAAGCACAAAATACAACGAAATAATTTTGCCTTTGAAAATTATTATTGATAGTGACTTTGGTTTTTCTTAAATGTAAGATTTGTTCATAAAATTTTACTTTGATCAAAAATCATTTTGCTAATATTTGCTATTTAAAAAACGAAAACAAATTTTTGACTGACCCAATTTTTTTTAATGAACCAAATTTTTTTCACAATGGTAATAAAAAAAAATTTGATCAGTCTTGAACTCAAAGTGAATGAAACAAATTGAGTTCTTTAGATTTTTCCAAATGTGGTTACTTAATTTTTTTTGTTAAAATTGACATTTTGGTGAAATTAACATAGAATTGTATTTTAAACTTTTTCACGGGTTCTCCCAATATATGCCAGTCGATTTTTTCTCAAAAAAATACCTGGCAAAAATTGGGAGAACTTGGGAAGGTCCTGGGAAACATATTTCTATATTTTTTTTTTAATAGTCGTTTCTCAGGATAATCAATCATATGTTGCACCATAACTTTCCCTTAAATGGAAGTTTTAATTTTTAAAACTCCACTAAACCAAATTTTTATCTGACTTTTTTGAAGCTTGAAAAACCTTCGAAATTCTCAAATGAAAAGAAAAATGAACACTTCTTAAAACTCGAAGAAGATCGATCATAGAAATACTCTTTAAATCAGGTTCTTCATTAATTCTAATTTAATTAATGACCTGGGATTCCTTTTCCTCTCTGGTACTTTGGTTGTACCAATCTATGATGCCTATTTTTTGATGGTTTCCTAGGAGTGAAGAGCGTCAGACTCTTAATCTGAATGTCGCGGGTTCGAACCCCGCGCAGGGTTTTCTTTTTTTATTATATCTCTTCTTTTGATGATAAACTCTTCATTCAACCACCTTTTTTTTGGCTCCAAATTGTAACTTTCCAGAAATAAACAGTAATTTAAAAAAATATTTAACTACTTTTCTTATTTCACTTTTAAACAAAATATAAAAAGTTTGCAATGTTGTTACTTTAAACTTATTTTCAAACTAAAGTCTTATTATTAGAACCAAGTATATCATTTCTCAGCTCCAAAAAGTCAAATACCTTAAATTAGGAATTTTACCCTTAAGGAAGTAAAAACATTTTATCATTTTGCAAAATTTTATTTGTGTGAACCTTATTGAAAAATATTTTTTTAGTACGACAAGATATTGAAACTTTGAAACCAAAACACCATCCACTACTCTATTTGTAAAGAAAAAGAACCAAAGTAATTCAGAGTTGAATCTTTCATTTTTCGATTTTTTGGAACATTTTTTTTTAATAAAATTTTGATTTTATTAAATTTGATTTTGGATCGAGAAATGGGTTTATATCAAGGATTCAAATTAATCAAAGAGTAAACCAAAAAAAAAATAGACCCAAAAAGATGTGTATTTGAAACAAATTTTCTTTTTGAAAAGGCCAAACTAGAAAGATCTTCTTTCCAAATACATTTCTTGAAAGAAAAAAAAATAGACGTAATAATATATTTTTCAAAGATTGCTTTTCGTTATCTTCTTAATTTGTATACTGTTATTTGTAAAACAAAAAGATCAAAATTTTCATTCAGCTTACCCAAAATAAAATATATTTCAATAATTAATATAAATCATCAAAGTTTGCAATTCTAAAAGGTAAATTAATAATTTAAGCTGATTTTAAGAATTAAAAAATTTGAAATTTTCTATGATTTTAAAATCTTTTTTTGGAAAGCCGAATGAAAATTTTGTTTCATTTATTTTCAAACAAATAGTAAATACAACCAATTTATTTACTTAAATTTCTCTCCCCATTACTATTTATTATTTTTTTAACAAAAGAATTTTTTGACAAATTTCCTTTCAAAATTCTTTTTACAAATATTTTTATCAAACAATACCAAAATAAAGAATACTATTTCAAAAATTAAAATAGAGAGGTTGAATACTGGTAATCAAACAAACACTTATAAATTATTCAACCCAAAAGAAAAGAAAAATATAAGAAAAAATTACAATCAGAATTTAGAAATTATTTTTCGTTCTAATTTTAATGGAAAATAAATAATTGTCAAAACAAATAAATATAACCAATAAATCCCTATTTCCGAAGAAGAACCCAAAAAATACCATATTTTACTGAAATAAAACTCGAAATAAATGAATTAAATGAAAATAGGAATTTGTAAATTCATTTTGGGAATTGATTAAAAATAAACAAGTAATTTGTCAATCAAAAATTTCACTAATAAAATTATTTCCAGATAGAATTCAAAATAAAACCAATCGAAGAAGAACTAATTTTTGTTTCTTAATAGATGGAACAAAAATATCATTCAGCTTTCGAAAAAAAATATTTTATTAATAATCTAATTTTTCAACTGTAAACAATTTTAAATCATTAATTTCCCCCTTTTTAGAATTGGGAACTTGATGTTTATGTGATTAATACTTGGAAAGTGAAATTTTTAGGAAAGTTAAATGAAAATTTAGATCTTTTTTCAAAGATATAAACGGTAATTATATCAAATGATACAGATCAGATCAAGAAATAAAAGATATTTATTTATTTTTTCTGAATAATTTTTTCATTTTTTTAGATTTCCATTTTTTAGTGTGTATATAAATATATTATAGAAGGATATATTCCACTCTAGTATTTATTAAAATATCGATGTAAACGAAATTTTATAATACATGGTCCATGTTACATTTGAATTTTGAATTGCTTTTGTATTGTTTTAAAAGATTTTCCCCTCACAATGAAGAGTTTGAAAATATTCATTTTTTCTCTTATTTATTTTTTCCTCAACGTTTTGTGTTAAAATGGAAAATGAAAATGAAAAATCGGAAAAAAGTATAGTCAGTTTCAAATTTAAGATACAAACTTTCAACGAAATTAAAGGCACAAAAAAATCTCAAATCAAGGCACAAAATTTGGAAAATTTTTTTTTGCAAATTGTTTTACTAGAATCTGAATTGTGTTCCTTAATTTGAGAGTTTTATTGTGCCTTTATTTTTGTTGAGATTTTTATTGTGCCTTAAATGTGAAACTGACTGTAACAGATGAATTTATGAAAAAATTGGTTTTAATTCTGAAAAGGGGGTTATATTTAGTTATTCAAATGGAAGGAGAATCGATAAATCCTGTTTATTAATTTTTTAAATTTTCTATTTTTTATGTAATGCTTATTTCAAAATAAATATCCCAATTTTTTTTAACGTTTTTTTTTTACTTTTTTTTATTGTATTTTTAGACAAAAAATAAATATCTCTTGAGCATAGAACTGAATATTAAAATCGAAATTTTTATATTATAATAGATAACTTTAATTATTAAAAATATTTTTCTTTAAAATTTGATTTTTAATTGGACAATGATTTTGAAATAGAGTTTATTTTGTTAACCAAATGATTGTAAGTATTCAGTTTTACATAAACGGTGGCACTAAAAAAATGAAAAGTGTACTTACTCTCTTAACAAAAGTAAAAAACTAATTGAATTGAATATTTTTTTTATTTTAATAACACAAAGATGATTAATCACCAACAATTAATAGTAAGAGACTTATCTAATAAACAAACTCCACAATAATTTTTATTAATTATTGAAAAATTCTTATTCATGCTTAAAGAAATAAATTAGATAACTGGAAAAAAGAAAAAAAAAAAAAAAAAAAGATAAAAAGATAAAAGGTGAAAAGAATAGTTTGGAAAATCAAAAATGTTTCCAAATTGGTCACAAAATGTATTATTATTATTCTTTAGATGTTTTAATGATGTACAAATTTTTTTTAATGTTATTTTATGAAAAAAATTCTCAGTTCGATAATTATTTGATAAATCAGAGACTTTTTATTTTTTTATTTTTTACATTTCGCACAGAGGAAATTTATTTCATCTTACAGTGGTTAAATTGTCCCAATTTTATAAGAAAAAACTCATTAGTTATTTTTTTAAATTTTTGATTTAAAAAAAAAATCCTAAATTTTCGTTATATTTCTAAAAAGAAAAAAATTACAATTATTTATTTTTTAATTTTTGGATTAAGTTGAAAATTAATTAATTTTCTAATCAAAAGTAAGAATTCAAAAAATGCCCATTTACCTTGCTAGAATTTGAAAAAATAAAATAGAAGTTTTCCTTTTCTTCAATTCTTTGGATACTAGAAAGGTACAGTTATATCTTTTTTGAGTGTTCTGTTTATTTCAAAAATCAATAAATTTTACAGATAAAACAAAAAAAACAAGAAAATTGCCGCCGGGCTTTTTTTAATTTTAAGATTAAAAGTAAATTTCTCTAATTATTTTTTTTTATTCCTAAAATTAAAAAAAAAACATAGATATAGCACTTTAGGTTTTCCACAATTTAAAATAACAGGTGAAAATATTTGATTTTACGCTACTCTTTTTAATTTGGGAAAAGTACTGTTAGGTTTTCTTGGGTTTTTGATTTATTTGGAAAACTCATTGATTTACTTTCTTTTTTCTTGTATTTTCTTTTCATTTTTAAGATCAATAACCTTTCTTTAGGTTTTTTTTTGAGTTTTCTATTTATTTGTGAAATGTTCTAGGTTTTTTGGGGGTCCTCTATTTTATTCAGAAAATCAATAGATTTTCCTAATAAAATAGAAAACCTTAATAAAAACCGAACCAAAATCTATTGATTTTCCAAATAAATATAAAACTCAAAAAAAACCTCGAACACTTCACAAATAAATAGAAAACTCAAAAAAACCTAGGGCAGTTAACATATAAAATAAAAAATCTCAAGAAATCCTTTCCACCCGTTAGGTTTTTTCTACTTTGAGAAATAAAACAAAAATTTATTTAATTTTCAGTTTATTTCTAAAATTAAAAAAAAAAACTTTACACTCTACGGCACTTTCGGAATTCTTAAAATTTTTGAAAGATATTTTAATAAAAAAAGATAATTTTCTTAATCATTTACAAATGACAGGATAAAAAAAGGATCTTTAATTTTAAATGATATCTTTGATATTATTCATGTTGTTGTCATAATTAATTTGAATTAATTCTTTAAACCAAAAATTTCGATTTTCTTCAAAGAATTGACGATTCCATAAAATATGATCAATATCCTTATCTATTTCTAATTTGCAATACTTTTTGCAAATATGTAGCATTTTATCACAACGACTATTTTGCTCGTGTTCATTTTCTGAAAACCCAATTTATTTTAAAAAAAGAAAAATAAACCGAAAATTTTTTTTTTTATTTTGAGCTTTTTTATTTGAACTTTTTTCTCATTGTTCTGATTCGCCAACAGGCTTATCAGGGGTTATCGAGGAGGTGATAGGATTAGATATTTTTAAAATTGTGGAAAAGGTAATTTTTTCAAAATGCGACAATGGTGTCCATAAAGGCATATTTCGATTCATATTAAAAAAAAAAAAAAACAAAAAAAGAAACAAATAAAATCAAATAAAAAAAAATAAAAAAATAGAATAATAAAAATAAAATAAAATAAAATAAAAATTATTAAATTCAATAAAATAAATAAAAAAAAAACATTATTTTTTTTCTTGAGTTGAATTTAATTTTGATTTTTTTTGAACTTTCTTTAATTTTTTTTTTTTAATTCTTTTCAATTGTCTCGTTCTAATTTTTTCTTCTGTGTAGTCAAAATACAATTCGATGTAACTTCTTCTCACATATTTGCCTTCAAGGCCGAGTGTTTTACCGATTTCTTTAACCTTTTCGCGATTTTTACCCTTGATTTGTACATATGTGATATTCTTCATTTGGACAAAGGTATCGATATCAATTGTGATTTCGCCATTGGTAAACCTTTTTAATTTTCTTTTAATTGTTGCGTC